GTATTTCCTAGATAATTCAGGAGGTTGTTGGCTAATCTCTTGTATGAAACGCTGAGCACCCACTTTCCTCTCATCAGGAAACAAAGAGGAAGTGTCACACTTCATCGGGGGTCACCTGGGTCCCCCCAGCGTTTGGCTCTTGACTGAGTCAGCAGGCCCCTGTGTCCAGGATCAGCAGGACACAACTTAAAATTCAGAACTGAATTTTCGGATAAGTTTTTTTTTGGTGGTGTCATTTCTTGGTTTTGGTTTTGCTCTTCTTTCTCCTCGGTGACTTTTACTGATGTACACATACAGAAACAAAATTAATTCCTGGGGAAAATCAAGAGATCTATAGTGAGATCACCTGGATTCACGTTCCAGCTCTGGAAGTGACCAGCTATAATCCTGGGCTCATTCATTCCTGTTCACACCAAGCTGTGCCATCTGCAAAGTGAGATAAGTGCTCAATATGTGGAGATTTCTAACTGTTAGGTCAACATTCTGTGAAGCTGGAAATGCCCAAAATTGCTGCAGTGGAGAGGAAAGAAAGATGAAAGAAGGACGCAGCAAGAACGACAGGTGAAATTCCAAACTTTGCTGGGACTTGTCACCCTTGAAACAACAATCTTATAGTTGCTTTTTATTTTCTATACTAGACATTGAGCCCAGAGGTTCTGTACTGCTAGGCTATACCCCTGGCCTTTTCTATATTTTATTTTTTATATTTTATTTTGAAGCAGGCAGCCTCAACTTCAGTCCTCCTGCCTCAGCCTCCTGGGGAATCTAGGATTACAGGTATGCACCATCATGACCAGCTCGTATTTCTTCCTTTTGAAAGGAAGCATTTACTTTTATGCATGGGAACCAAGGAGGAGGTAAAACTGGTGTCTGAGTGGAGAAGCTGGAGACAATTTAATTTCAAGGGAAAAGATACAAAATGGAAGCTGTTCACCAGGCTCGAGCTTCCCACAGTTAAAGGATCACCCCTGAGCTTCCCCGCAGAGCCCTGGGAAGAGGGACACTTAAGATTACCAAGGCCCCAGAGGCCTGCACTGAACCCAAGTGGTACCTGAGCCCCTGCCTCTCCCCTCACCGGGAAATGAGGGCAAGTTCTTCATCCCAGGCCATCTGGTCTCACCCTGGCTTCGGCTCTTGGTCGAGTCAGCTGGGATCCTGCAATCCAGTGCCTGCAGCCTGCTCCGCACAGACAGAAACAAAGCCGACAAGTGTGGCTGACAGACCACAGGCAGCTCCAGGCCAGCAGGCCCAAGAGGTCAGCCTGGGCCTTGGAATCCCTAACCCTGCAAAACTTGAGCTGAGTGGCCGTTGCCTGCCCAGTGTGATGTAGTCAGGCAGGTGCATGGGGATTTTCAGGCAGATGGGGAAAGAGCTTGTTTATTGTTTACTGAAGATGACTTTTCTAAGAACTCAAAACCTGGATGAAGACACTAAGTTAAAGGCTAAACAGGGAAAGTTCAGGGAAGTCTCCATGTCATCTGGTAAACAGACCCGGGTCAGTGAAATGATGTAAATGGCAGATCCGAGTTGGGAAAGCAGGGTAAATCACAGATCCAATTCCCTTACTTGACAGATGAGAAAACTGAGGCCCAGAGAGGGAGGAGAAAACGTGCGGGCTGCGGAGTGAGGTCTGGTGATGTCTGAGGCTTCCACTACCTGTTTCTTGACCCTCTAGTCCACACATTTGATGAGTCATCAACTCTTATCTCACATAATGCTCCCTTTCCAGTTTTGTAAATTCTTTCCCTCTACCTTTTCTACTCAGATCTTAACTCTAAAAGCCCCATGTAGACCCCAGGTCCTTGCTTCCCACCTCCTTCTGAGCAACCTCTCCTATTCTAGTCCACTGTGCAAACCAACAGTTTAATCTTCTTAAAACAATACTTTGATTCCATTCTCCCCTACCCTAAGCTATCCCCAGCTTCCCACTGCCTCCAAGACCAACTTCAATCCCCTCAGTCTTCAGAGAAGTCCCCACAATGGCATCCCCAATGCCCTCTGCCCTACCACACCAACCTGCCTCTTTCCCACAAACACACCTTCCTGCAGCTCGTCTCTGCATTTGTAGAGTATTGCTCCAGAAATCTTTTCCTGTGTCCCATCCTCCGATCTATTAAGTATTTATCTCCCTTTCTATACCCCACAGCTCTTTCCATACATCACAGACGGCTGTGTTGTCGGCACCTCTCCTTTGAGTGTATACCGGCTGTGTGTGTGTGTGTGTGTTCTCATCCACACTCTAAGCCTCTGCAGAGCTTGTCTCTTCTCAGTATCCACAGCCCAACTACTTTACAGCAAGTGGTGCTCAAGACATACACCCAAGGTACAAACACAGGGATGCCGGGCGTGGTGGCACACACCTGTAATCCCAGCACTCGGGAGGCTGAGGCAGGAGAATCGCTGTGAGTTTGAGATCAGCCTGGACTACATAGCAAGTTCCAGGTCAGTCTCAACTACATAGTGAGACCCTGTCTCAAAAAAACCAACCAATCAACCAAACAAACAAACACAGGCAGCTTCCTCACAAGCTGCCTCCAGCTTGGAAGATGTGTTTGCCATTGGAAATGTGAGGACTACACAATAACAGCAATGAAATAGTGTTATAAAGTGGGCAAGTGGGCCAGGTGCCATGGTACATGCCTGTAATCCCAGCACTCAAGCCAGGGAGGAGGATCACTGCAAGTTCGAGGCCAGTCTGGGCTACAGAGCAAGACCTTGTCCCAGAACAAACAAACAAAACTTAAGTGGGTAAGAGCCTGACAGAGTACTGAGGACAATGCCTTACTTCGCCTGAAGTCAGGTCAGACTTCCTGGAGACACGGGATAAGGTGAGCTGTGTAGTGTCCCCAGGTGGACAAGTGACAGGATGGGCAAGACAGGACTGGAAGGACACCTGACCCAGGCACAAAGATGCAGACCCAGCTCACACGGGGCCTGGGAAGGCCTGCACAGCTGCCGCGGACAGAGGGTACCCAGGAAGCGGAGAGGACTGCTGAGTGACCACGCAGGGAAAACACATCCTCTTACCACAGGATGGCCTTGAGGGAGGCGCAGGATGGACGCGGCCCTGCATCTTAGGTATGGGAAGATCTGCCTCCATCCTCCCAGACAAGGTACCTGGGCTTGGGCAAATCTGTCAACTCCTCTGGGCCTCAGCATCCCAGTCGCTTACTGTCCTCACTGTATTCCCCACTGACCACACAGAGACTTTATTTCTTTTTTCTTTCTTTTAAAATTTATTTATTGACACAGGGTCTCACTATGTAGTTCGGACTGGCCTTGAACTATAACATTACATGAATTAAAACATTATAATAATACGTGAATTATAATATTATAATATTACATTACAGCCCGGGTACCCCTCTAGCCTCAGTCTCCCAAGTGCTGGGATTACAGGCTTGTACCACCATGCCCGGCACAACACGAACTTGAAAAAGGACCAGTTTATGTATTCATATCTGAAGAGATAACTCATCATGTCACAGCGTCCCTGCTCGTCAGGAACCTGCCGTCAGCTCCAATCCACAGCTTGTCAGGGGTGGCACTGTGAGGTCTGCCTGGGCCAGAGCACACCAGCAGAGCATGCTGTTGCTTCCCTAAGAACCTTCCGCTTGAATGACAGAGACATAGAAGCAGTTGCTTAACTCCCCCCCGCCGCTCTCAAGGAGATTTTCCTGGCACTTTCTCAGGGCTACCCACGATACTCCTATGCCTCTGTGAGGCCCACGTGGATAACGAACCTTACATAAATAAACTCCTGCAAATTAACAAGCTCCTCGTCATCCTAGGGTGATATGCGGTCAATGGGCTTTTTCAGGAAGTACGGGATTAGAGGGAAAAGGTCAAGGGCCTAAGTGGGGGGACAGGGGTGTACAGGGCAGGCAGCGTAGATTTTATGGCTGACTCTCTTCACCACCAGCCCGCTTCTCAAAAAGCACAGTGTGGAAGATCAGCACTTGGGCCACAAAGACTCAGCTCCACAAACTCCACACTCTCGTCAGACTTTGGGGCCTGCTACTGAGGAAATGTTGAAAGAGCACAGGCTACACACAAGCCAAACATGCTAAGGCCAGAACACAGTGAAAGAGCAACACACCTCTAACATCTTCCCCTCACCTTATGGGGGTAAGGAGAAGGAGGGGCAGGAGATTTGGGCTCTTGTGTGCTTGAAGACAGTTAATAATTATATCAAATATAAATGGTTCAAACACTCTAATTAAAAGGCATAGCCAGGCATGGTGGCATATGCCTGTAATCCCAGCATTCAGGAGGCTGAGGCAGGAGGATCACTGTGAGTTTGAGACCAGCCCGGGCTATACAATGAGTTCCAGGTCAGTCTCGACTACATAGTGAGACCCTGTCTCAAAAAAACAAAAACAAATAAAAGTCATAGCTGCCTTACAGGCTAAAAAACTCAGCTCCCAATCTCACAGCCAGAAACCAGAAGCAGCCTGAACTTCACTGGAACTAAAGGCCCAAGTTTGCTGGGATTATCCATGATCACCCCGATTCTACTGCTGGCTTACTGGGGTGAATCGCATGGGTCTGGACTGTCTGCCCACTCTGCCAACCAGTGACAGCAAAGACGCACCCTCACATGGACTTTTTTCCTGCATTTTTCCCCTTTATTTGCTTTTTTATTATTTTTTGCTATTTTATTTGTTTAACCTTTTTTTCTTTTTTGGTATGAGTGAGATCATTGTTTCTATTTTTTCTTTCCTCTCTTTTTGTTCTACCCTTGTTTCTGTTTCTTCCTTCTTCCCCTCCTGTCTTCACCAGTTTCCAAGCCTTCAGAATCTTCCTTCATTTTCCAGTCTTATTTCTAATCCCTTTCTCTTCTTCTATCTTTTTCCCTAATCCCTTTTAAATTTTCTCCCTGGAGTGTAAACTCATGATATTGAGGGTATATTTATTATCCACAATTCTCTGGTTTGTTTTACATTTGCCATAACTACAAATCCCGTTCATACCATGAAAGATGGCAAATTGATACTTACCACAGTTCGTCATTTTCTCAGGCGTGCTCAATGCTATCGTCAGTACTTAGTGCACTGCTTTAGTCCAGGTGACACACTGGTTTTAGTCAGTTGTTCCTCCTGGTATGCCAAGGCTGAGATTGCCTGAGGGTCACAAACAATACTGTCGGCCAGTTCCAGAGAGACAGGCAGCAACTTCACATGCCCAATAAATTAAAACAGTAGGATCATGCTGGGCATGGTGGCGCATGCCTGTAATCCCAGCACTGGGGAGGCTGAGGCAGGAGCATCGCTGTGAGTTTCAGACCAGTCTGGGCTACATAGTGAGTGCCAGGTCAGTCTCAACTACAGAGTGAGACCCTGTCTCAAAAAAAAAAAGAACTCATTTCCTAAGAGTTCTCAAAAGTACCAGTAAAGATATCCACCATAAACAATTAACAAGTATCAATTCAGGAATAAAACTGAAAAAAAAAATACAAAATGTGAAGACATTTAAGCACGACTCAAGCCCAGACTTAGAGTTCAACAAAGGCAAACCCAGGGGACGCTGAGGTAGAACAATTGGAAACCGGTCCACCTGGGCTTTCTGAAGTAGTAACAGAGGAAGTAACAAAGCACACGAATGAGGCTCGAGGAAAAAATCAAATCAGAAATAATTTTTCAGATAACTTCAGAGATGATGGCTATAATGAAGAGCACGATTAGTAAATCTAGAGAAGATACAGATTTTTAAAAATAGAGGCACTCAGGAAAATGATGGAAACCACGAATGCCCAATATAGGAAAGAAATGGAATCCATTAAACAAACATATCCAGGAGATTAAAAATTTTATTCAAAGTATATCCAGCAAAATGAGCCAATGTGGGATGACAGACTATCAGACCTAGAAGATAGCACTGCAGTTAGCAATCATGAAAATAAAAATTTCTTTAAAATAGCAAAGGACCACAAAAAAAAAAATCAATCCAATCTTTGCTATATGATACAGAGATTGAGCAGAGTCAATGAAAAGCAGAGGATAGTTCAAATGATGTAAATTTCTGTTCACAGAAGTAATGGCAGCTGGAGATTTAGCTCAGTGGTTCTGCCGCCTGCCTTGAAAGTGCAAAGACCGGAATTCGATCCCCAGTACCAAAAAAAAAGTAATGGCAGAAAACTTCCCAAGAATGGAAAAAGAAGAGGACATACAGATAAGTGAGGCATAGAGAACTCTAATTAGCCATTATAAAAGAATATAAAATGTATTCTAAATATAAAAGACATATAACAGGATTCCAGAAATTCAACACAATAACACAGTATTAAAAGCTGTCAGAGAAAAGAAACAAATCATTTATAAAGGAAAGCCCATCAGAATTACAGGTGACTTCTCAACACAAACCATTAAGTCAAGGAAAGCTTGTATTTCAACCCCTAAAAGAAAAAATAAATGCCATCCCAGATTGATGTACTACACAAAATTGTCTGTCAAAATTAATAGAGAAAAAAGATACTTCCATGACAGAGAACATCTTAAGAAATTCATAATCACCAAACCAGCACTCCAAAATGTTCTGCAAAACATTCTAGAAAGATATAATAAAGACTACAATGCCATGCACCCCAACAGAATGAATCTACCAGGCAAGTCCAAAATTAGAGGGGGAAGGGAATCAACAAAATAAAAATAAAATGACAAGGATAAGTCAATGTATATCACTTAATAACCAGCAATGTAAATGGTCTCAATTCACTGATTAAAAGAAACAGATTGGCAGAATGGGTTAAGAAACAAGATCCAACAACATGCTGCACACAAGAAACACATTTAGTTCAAAAAGAAATTCATAGACAGAAAGTCAAAGTATCCAAAACAATACTCCATGTGACAGGAACCCAGAAAAGGAAGGGGTACCTATTCTATTTGCAGACAATGTGATTTCAAGCCAAGATTGATTAAGAGAGACAAAAAAGGTTACTACATTCTTGTAAAGGGGACAATCTAAGAGGAAGACACAACAATCATGAATATATATGCACCAAATACCAGCATACCCAACTATATAAAACAAAAAAAAAAAATTTTTTTTTTTGAGACAGGATCTCACTATGTAGTTGAAACTGACCTGGAACTCAGTATGTAGCCCAGGCTGGTCTCGAACTCACAGTGACCCTCCTGCCTCAGCCTCCCAGGTGTGAGCCACCATGCCTGGCTTCTATAAAACAAATATTAACAGACATGAAAAATCAAATAAGCACAACCATAATGGAGGAACCTCAATAGCTTACTGTCACAAATAGATTGATCTAAACAGAAAAATCAACAAATACTAGAACTGCGCCAAATTTTTGAACAAATACACTTGATAGATGTCTATAGTGTTCCACCCCAAAACATCAGAATACACACTCTCAACTGCACATGGGATGCTCTCCAAAACAGACCACATGTGTGTGTGTGTGTGTGTGTGTGTGTGTGTGTTTATTTTTTAATGGAGTACTGGGAATATAAATCAGTGGTAGGGAACTTTCCTGGCTTGCATGAGTTCCTTGATTCAATCCCCAGTCCCACCAAAAACATTAAAAAGTTAAGTGTGGAAAAAATATACTATTGAAACATTAATCATTAGAAAGTGACTGGGTGTGGTGGTACACACCTGTATTCCCAGCATTTGGGATCACCTAGAGTTGGAGATCAGCCTGGTCTACATAGTGTGTTTTGTTTTGGTTTGGTTTAGTTGAAACAGGGTCTTAAATCACTACATACCCCAGGCAGGTCTCAAATTTACTGCAATCCTCCCTCTCAGCCTCCTAAGTGCTGGGATAATGGGTGTGCCCCACTACACCTCGATGAGACCCTGTTTTAAACAAACAAACAAAACGCAAAATGGAGCCACGAAATTAATAGCAAAGTAAATTTCAGAACAAAGAATACTTGCCAGGTTAAAAAGGGATAATTTATGATAAACGGCTCAATCTATCAAGAAGGTATAACAATGAGTAATTGGGGTTATCTTTATTCAGATTTATTTTTATCATTTCTATTTTGGTTTCTGATATTCACATACTGATTTTCCTGCTGGTAACACCTTCCCAATCTTTTTTTTTTTTTAACTTTTACAGTTTATTAATCCTCTCATTAAAAAACAAATTCACACAATTACTGGAGACAAGCACCACGAAACTTTTATTCCTTCAGCTTTCTGCCAGCACAAAAGTTGGTCTTTGCAGTACCCGACGTTCTTCATTCTGTCCTCGTGTTCCTTCTGCCACTTTCTTGAAGTCGTTTCCTTTTCACATGGGCCAAGTTTTTTAGGTTCATTTTTCTTCACATAATCCAAGGAATCATAAATCATGCTGAAGCCAAGTGTCTTGTCACCATCAAAATGGGGTCTGAATCCAAACACGAAAGTGACATCTGGTGTACTCTTGTACACTTGGGCAAGCTTTTTCCTGAATTTCTTTCTTAGGTACTATTGCTTCCCCAGGCTGAAGGACATCAATGGCCACCTGCTTCCTTTGAAGAAGCTGGTTGGTCGTGAAGTTCCAGGTCCAGAGAGTTACCACGTCGTTCATGATGGCAACAGATTCCCAGGCAGCCAGGGAGGAAAAGAGCCCCCTTCCGATCCTTCCTGGCTGAGGTTACTCACCTGACGGGACTTTGCTCTGGACACTTGCGCCAGTTAATCTTCTCAGACCTCCTTTCTTTGGGAAATGGAATTTTCCTGAGATTCCTTCAGCACAGTGTGGCTCCCCACAGACAAAGCACTCACGAGTCTGGTGAATACATCTCTACTAATCCGTCTCCCTTCACAGACCAGGAGTTCCTTAAGGACAAGGACTGTCACATTCACCTCTGAATTCTTAGTACTGGATGCACTATAGTTACTTGACAAATGAGAATTTAAATTGCAAAAACTCAAGCCTAGTAACCCTGACTCCCAATAAACAGAAGGGACAGTGAACAAGGAGTCAGAAGAATTACACCCACTCTGCCACTTACAAGCCTACATAAACCATTTAATCATCTAGTGCCTCTGTCTCCTCCTTTGGAAAGCGGTAAAAAGAACAGTGGCCTCCTGGAGTTGCAAGTTTAAGTAACAGTGTTTAAATGTGCATCCTGAATGTTAGTTCACATCGCAAGGCATGAGCATCTTTTATCTGTGTCACAGATTGCTAAATTTGAGGCAAGCAAAAGAAAGGAAAGCGTTCAAGTCTACCCAGCAGAGTGGTCTTGGAGGAACAGACTCCTTTGCTTGCCTTGAGCCAGTCTGTGCCCAGCCCCTTCTGCCTGCAGAGGAGTCTGTGACGCTCTGGCTGCACAGCAACCCTGTTCTTCCCTGAAGTGGCTGTAGAAGCCACCGGGACCAAGCAGCAAATCAACATCAGGAAGAACACCACACAGCCCTGGTGGGAAGAGATCCTGGCAAATTCTCCGGCTGAATCAAGTGAGTGAGCGAGGTGCAGCTGAGCACGGGATGGCACCAGTGTTCCAGAAAGAGACGTCACAGCCTCTGTCCCTGACACCCGGTGGTTTTCGGCTTTCCCTCAATGACTAAGACTTTAAATGGAGAACTGCAGCAAAAAGGGGAAAGCACCAACTCACACTGTCTTGAGTCAGTCTTGCAACTGCAGAACTCTGGGCTCCAGCCCAGACCTATGGAAAAATAATTTGCATTCGAACGCACTCTCCAGTGAGTCCCAGGAACGAACACACTCTCCAGTGAGTCCCAGGAATCAAGGGTGACAAGCGCCGGTTTCCTTCCCGCTCCAGCAGAGGTGCCACTTTTCTGAGCACAGACTACTTCAGGAAGACTTATCTGTAAATGACACACATGGGCTGCTGACTTGACAGGTTATGCACATAAGTTTATATTTTAAGTACAAATTAAAATAGAGGAGTGTACACCATGTGTTCTCTGGCTTTTCTGAAAGCACTTTCCACCAGGCTCTCATACTGCCCGTCCATCCCAAGCCAGCTTCTCACCAGGTGGTCTGCCCTGCTCCTACCCAGCCTCTACCTTTAGCCTCTGATCCTTGAAATCAATTTTGTACAAAGAGCTCAGCA